TCTGTAAATCACTTTGGGCAGTATGGACATTTTGACAATATTGGTTCTTCCAATCCATGAGCATGAGATGTTCTTCCATTTGTTTGTGTCATCCATCAGTGATTTCTTTCATCAGTGTTTTGTAGCCCTCCTTGTAGAGATCTTTCACCTCCTTGGTTAAGTGCAATATATTCCTAGGGTTTTGTTTTTTTTTCTCTTTCTTTTTTTCTTTTGTTGTGTTGCAGCTGTCGTAAATGGTATTGAGCTCTTTCTTGATTTGATTCTCAGCTTGATTGTTATTAATATATAGAAATGCTACTGATTTATGTACATTAATTTTGTTACCTAAGACTTTACCAAGTTTATTTATCAATTCTAAGAGTCTTTTGGAGGAGTCTTTAGGGTTTTCTAGATCTAAGATCATATGATTGGCAAACAGGGATAATTTGACCTCCTATTTCCTGATTTGGATACCCTTTCTTTCTTTCTTTTGCCTGATTGCTCTGGCTAGGACTTCTAGTACTATGTTGAAATCTTTGTCTTTTCCCAGTTCTTAGGGGGAATGCTTTCAATTCTACCCCATTCAGTGTGATGTTGGCTGTGGGTTTGTCATATATGGCTTTTATTTTATTGAGGTATGTTCCTTCTGTGCCTAGTGTGTTAAGAGTTTTTATCATGAAGGGGTGCTGGATTTTTTTGAATGCTTTTTCTGCATCTATTTTGTTTTTAATTCTGTTTATATAATGAATCATATTTATTGATTTACATATGTTTAACCATCCTTGCATGCCTGGGATGAAACCCACTTGATTGTGGTGAATTATTATTTTTTTAATGTGCTCTTGGGATCAGTTTGCTAGTATTTTGTTGAGGATTTTTATATCCATGTTCATGAAGGATATTGGTCTGTGATTTTCTTTCTCTTCTTTCCTTTTCGTTTCTTTTCTGTGTGTGTGTGTGTGTGTGTGTGTCCTTTTCTGGCTTTGGTATCAGAGTGATATTGATTTCTTACAATGAGTTAGGGAGGATTCCCTTCTCTTCAATGTTATGGAATAGTTTCAGTAGCATAGGTACCAGTTCTTTGTAGATCTGGTAGAATTCATCTGTGAATTCATCTAGTCCTGGGTTTTTTTTTGGGGGGGGGGGCGTTTTTTTTATTGCTGATTCAATCTCACTACTCATTATTCGTTTATTTGGGATTTCTGTTTCTTCCTGATTCAAGCTTAGAAGGTTGTGAAGTTCATCCATTTCAGTGTTTTTGGTTTTCAGTATATATGGTTCAGTGGTTTTTAAGGCTATTTACAAGTCATATAACTGTCACTATAATCTAATGCAGGAGTCCTCAAACTTTTTAAACAGGGGCCAGTTCACTGTCCCTCAGACCGTTGGAGGGTCATTGGAGAGTGCGGTGCACCTTCCACACATGCGCACTGTGGGCCCAGGACGAGTTGGCTGCTAAGCAGGACAGGCAGCCAGGGCAAAAATACCCGGTGGGCCGGATAAATGTCCTTGGCGGGCCACATGTGGCCCAAGGGCCTGATCTAATATTTAAACATTTTCATCATCCCAGAAAGAAACCTGTTACCCATTAGCAGTTATTCTCCATTTATCCCACACTCCACCATGTGGAGTCAATCCTAGGCAAGCACTAATCCAATTCTGTCTCTATGAATTTGCCTGTTTTAGACATTCCATATAAGTGGAATCATACAATATGTGACATTTTGTGCCTGGCTTATTTCACTTAGCATAATGTTTACAAGCTTCATCCGTGTTGTAGCATGTGTCAGTACTTCATTCCTTTTCATGTCTGAATAATATTCCATTGTATTGATAGACCACATTTTGTTTATCCATTCATCCATTGATAGACATTTGTGTTTTTTCAACCTTTTGGGTATTATGAATAATGCCACTGTGAACATTCATGTACAGGTTTTTGTTGGACATATGTTTTCATTTATCTTGGGTATATAGATATCTTGGGTATATATATGGGAGTAGAATTGCTGGGTGACATGGTAACTCTATTTAACATCTTGAAGAACTGCCAAACTGTTTTCCACACTGGCTGCACCATTTTCCCACCAGCTATGTATGAAGATTCAATTTCTCTATATCCTCACCAACACTTGTTATTATCTCTCTTTTATTCTCGTCATTCTAGGGAGTATGAGGAGTATCTCGTCATTGTTTTGATTTGCATTTCCCTAATTACTAATGATCTTGAGCATCTTTTCATGGCTATTGGCCATTATTATGTCTTCTTTGTAGAAATGGCTATCAAATCCTTTGCCCACCTTTTAATTGGGTTATTTGTCTTTGTATTTGAGTTATAAGATTAGCCCATTTATGGACCCTTTAGTCTTCTCCCTATCTCATAACTTTTAGCTTTTGTTCCCATTGTTCATAGCTTGATTCTCTGCAAACTTATGAATTCATGTTCCTGTAAGAACTCATGATCCACTTTTCTGCCCATTTGGGTGGAGCCTCCTCAGCTTGACCACCATATCAGTTGCTGCTTGCTCTTCTTGCCCAGTCAGCTGTGGCTACAAAAGGGTGGGGACAGAACCTGCCTGCTCAGGGACATGATTGACATGCCTAGTACTAGAATAAAAGTGAAAAGAAGTAAAATATGTTAAAGTAAAACATAGAAAAATAAAGTGAATGCAAGCTAAATAGTTTAAAATTATTGGGATCCAGCAAGGATTTAGATTGTAAACCAGAACAGCCAGTAGCTAACAGACCCTCTGCCCAGTCAAGGGGAAATTCCTAGGGAACACCATCCTTCCCTGCTGGCCAGAATTAGAATTTCTGGGTAAAATAGTGTGCACATCTCAAAGATTTAATAGGTATTGTCAAATTGCCCTCTAAAAAGACTATACCAATTTATCCTTTCAGCAATAGTGAATGGGAACATGTAGGGGTATTTTAAAATAAATTCCAAACATCATTTCATATCACCTGGAAATACTTCAGTATTTCTTGCTAACAGATAAAGATGTTTTTCATTTTTTGACATAACAATTATCATTTCTAAAAAATTAGTACCTTTTTACTGATGATTTGTTCAAATAAGAATTCAGATTTGTTCAAATAAGAATTCTTGTTCAAATAAGAATTCAAAATGTGCATGTGGAAAGGAGTACTAAAGAGAATGTCCTTCTGCACTGTGAGCTGGGCATGATGGTGCACACTTGTAGTCCCAGCTTCTCTGAAGGCTGAGGTGGGAGGATCACTTGAGTACAAGAGTTCAAGGCCAGCTTAGGCAACATAGTGAGACCTCCATCTCTTAAATTAAAAACAAAAAAACAAACAAAAAAAACCCCTGCTTTGTGTTGATGCAAGTTTGGGACCTGAAGGTGAAGGAGTTTTTAGTCCAGGCTTGTTTCTGTAGCAGTGTAAGTGATGTTTAAAGATTTCTAGTGGCTCACCCCTGTAATCCTAGCTCTCTGGGAGGCCGAGACGGGCGGATTGCTCAAGGTCAGGAGTTCAAAACCAGCCTGAGCAAGAGCGAGACCTCGTCTCTACTATACATAGAAAGAAATTAATTGGCCAACTAATATATATAGAAAAAATTAGCCAGGCATGGTGGCGCATGCCTGTAGTCCCAGCTACTCGGGAGGCTGAGGCAGGAGGATCACTTGAGCCCAGGAGTTTGAGGTTGCTGTGAGCTAGGCTGACGCCACGGCACTCACTCTAGCCTGGGCAACAAGTGAGACTCTGTCTCAAAAAAAAAAAAAAAAAAGATTTCTAATTTGTTTGCTTCTGGGCAGTTCCACGATCAAGGTTCTCTTTTAGACCTAGCTCTCAAGCCTGCTTTATTTCTTTGTGGTCTTGCTCTTATGCTTCTGGTTCTCAATTTATAGGTGCTTCCTTGAAACTCTCTGAAACAAATCCTTGGAGAGAGTAGGGATAGTAACTTCCCGTGATCTTTGCTGCAAGGCTGACCATTTGTTCAACTGAGAAGTCTTACAGACTGCTCTCTGCCAAGGTTTTTTGTAGTCTTAATCTCCTATTATTTGGGTTGTAGAAACTTCCAACTCATTGAGACTTTTGCTCTCTGGACTTTACTTACTTCTTCCATTTCTGTTTGAAGAGTAGCAATTCTTGCCTATGCTTTTTCTCTGTCTTGAAGTATCTTTGCTAAGGCAGTCATTAGTATTCAACACAGTCCATCACTCTGACTCTTCCCACCACTCTCCCTGGGACAGCAGGCTCAGTGGTCACTTGGTCCATGAGAGGCTACAGTTACTGCAGGCAGTCATTCATCAGGGATAATATTTTGTCCTGTTGTACCAGGCTGTCCGGCATTCCAGCTGGTTCTCTGCCACCTAATGGCTAAGCCAAAGTCACATATTTTAGGCTTTTGTTCACACTTCAGTGTATTTATTCATTTGGTGTCAGTTGGGTTTTGGTCAGGAAAACAGAAACTACACTAGGTATTTCAAGCAGGAAGTCATTTAACATAGTGAATTAGAGGTTTACAAAATGAGTAAACCTGGGGGCTGGGGGTGATGGTGGTGGCAGCATAGCCAGGGAGAGCTGCTGTTAGCTTTCAGAAAGTTAAGAAATACAGGAATTACAGGTACTACTGCAGATCAGCTGAGTCTCTGTAGGACCAGGGAGGGTGAATTTCAGGAGAATGCTCAGAAGCTGGTGGTATAATGTGACATGTATATAATGCAAAGCCCATGCTCCTGCCCTCTCCTGCTAGAATAATCCTGGTCTCCACTGCTCTTCTGCTTTCTGAATCTTGTGAAGTAGCTGAACCTCTCATTGCTGGCCAGGATTCGGGTAATGTGGTTCCCACTGTACCAAGGAGAGCATAGACCAGGAGGAAACGGTGCTTTGTTGCCAACATACAACCCAGCTTCTCCACTAAACCTTACAAAAAATAGGAGAAATGATTCTCAAAATATCACTATTAAACTTTCTTACAAATAAAAAGTTTGTTGTCTAGAAGTGAATACAAAATATATACATAAATAAAATTTTTTTTATAATTTTTTAATTTATAGACTATAAAGCAATTGGCAAAATAGGAGAGGGAACATTTTCTGAAGTTATGAAGATGCAGAGCCTGAGAGATGGAAACTACTATGCATGTAAACAAATGAAACAGCGCTTTGAAAGGTAGGCAATCAGAGACATATTTAACACTTAATACAGATATAGGGTTAAATCAATAAAGGCAACTTAATATTAATGGGAAAATTCATTCATTTAATAATATGTAAAATATAATCAAATTTCTTTGGGTAGTGAGGATTATGCACTAATGTTGATCATACTGGAGTTTACTCACATCCAGGTTTACTGTGATATCAATGATAGATAGCCACAAAAAATTTAAGTTATAAAATATGCCCCCCTTTAACAGTCTTTGTATTCCTAACAGGTGTGTTTGTGTGCATGTGCTGGACTTCTATAAATGAAACCTTAGAATGTATTAGAGGTCCTTACAATTGAATTAATTGTGAGTTAATTAGTATATTGATATGTTGAAAAATAATTTTCAGGTGGAGATGGAGAAACATATTCCCTGGGCGTGATCAGGAGTGTTGTCTATGGAGAGTGGAACTGTAGTTCTTGGTCACTCCCTTGGAGGACTGCTGTGGCTTTTTCCTCAGGGCAGCTTCTTAAAGTCTGGGAGTTTGTCAGCTTCTTAGCATATTTCCCACTACTGAGTCAAAAACCAGATGTGATTGGGAAACTCTGTCAGAATCATGAAATAAATACTGTCTTCATTGTAACTATTAAATTTTAAAATGAAGAGGAGTGAAGCCCAGCTTTCTCTTTTCTTTTGTTTTCTTTTTTTTAATATTAAAGGAATTGAAGCCTCTATATAGCCAAAGTAATTCTTTTAAAAACATAGTATTATAATTTTCCCATGTTGACACAGAGCCATCGGAAGTGTTTTGGGGTATAAACCTTGATTTCAAACTTTTAGTATAGGCCAGGCGCAGTGGCTCACGCCTGTAATCCTAGCTCTCTGGGAGGCCGAGGCGGGCAGATTGCTCGAGGTCAGGAGTTCAAAACCAGCCTGAGCAAGAGCGAGACCCCGTCTCTACTATAAATAGAAAGAAATTAATTGGCCAACTAATATATATAGAAAAAATTAACCGGACATGGTGGTGCATGCCTGTAGTCCCAGCTACTCGGGAGGCTGAGGCAGAAGGATGACTTGAGCCTAGGAGTTTGAGGTTCCTGTGAGCTAGGCTGACGCCAGGGCACTCACTCTAGCCTGGGCAACAAAGTGAGACTCTGTCTCAAAAAAAAAAAACAAAAAAAACTTTTAGTATAAAAATTGTTTCTCATATCAAAAAAAAGAAATATAAGACAATTAATCATGTCAAAGGGTATCGAGAACAGTAATTTGATCCTCATGACATCCAGACACAGTAGTTACCATCTCTATTTTTCAATGAGGAGAGGTGCTTAGAGATGTGAAGTAATTTGACAGTTGTTGCTGGAGATCACTAGGGTGGGCAGAGCCAAATTCGAATCCCAATTCTGCTAAAGCAAAATCTTCATTTTTCACTGCCCAAAGCATGTGGCAGTTTCCACTACCAAGACTCTGAAGCAACTAGGCCTTCTGTGCTTTTTTGTCTAGAACTGCTTCCTCCACGTATTCTACATTCTCTGTGTCTCTTTATCTTCTCCCCCTGACGCCATCTTTATCTTTAAGCTACATGAGAGAGAATTTGATGCACCATGTACTGATTATCCTGTTTCTAAAGAGCAGACTTTCCTAAATAGCTACCTTTGAGAAATCCACTATAAACCCAAAGTTGCCAGTATGGGACTTTGAGCGGAAGGATGCAATGCCTTGGTATCTTAGGAGATGATCGGAATCCTTGTCAGATGATCACTGTCAGGTTCAGAGGTAGATGTAAGTACATACATCAACAGGACATGCCAGCTATGATTTTGGTGAAGAACTAAATACACAAAGTAGACCGGACAGATAGCCTACAGACTTTAGGCACTTTGGAGATTGTCGCTTTGTCAGAATAATGCACGGTCACATTCACTCTGTTGCATTGGCTGTCAAGGAGAGGTTGCATCACAGATGAGTTACTTGGTCACAGATGCGTCTTCAGGAAGGTAGAGATATCTGTAACATTTTGGAGAGGTCTCTATCAAAGAAAATTAGAATATTCTAAGGAGCAGTTCTTTGGAGGATGGAGAACACTTGATTTATCTAGAGAAGTTCATTCTCATACCTCCATAGTTCCTTGGACTAAGGGATGGGATTTTCTGGTGGTGAAGCACATCCTGGATCTGCCATCTGCCCAATCCCCAACATACCAAAAATGTCTTGTCTGCCTGAGCCTTCCTTGTCATGAAGTGCCTGAAGACTAAATGAGAGAATAAAAAGAAAGCTAGCATGATGGTAGCCTCGGTTACTATATATGTGTAATCACTTGTATTTTAGAAACAGTGTTCTTTACCTTTAACATTTAATCATTTAATTAGAACACATATTTTTCTTTTAAAAAACCCATAAGAAGTAAAAGTCTTTAATAAAATACCACTGAATTAAAATAAATAAATAAATAAATTACCACTGAATTGATATTACTTTATTTTTTAAAAAAGTTTGTGTATGTGGAGGGGATTAGTTACAGAGTTCTCTTCGTTATGTCAACCATAGTTTCATATATTGGCTTTACTCAAAAGGAAGTATACTTGCTCTAGGTTAGTGGCATTTTGTGGTTGTTTGATGTGTAGAACCAGTGATAGAGTCTAGTTCCTACTCTTGACAGGCATGTCTTATGTGCCCTAGAAAAGCATGACCTGCTAACCTATGTAGTCCAAACTCAAGGAGACCTGGACTTTGAGTTTTATCTTGTGAGTTCTCATTTGCTTCCAATATATATGTTAAACACTATAGGAGATTATAATCCAATACTATAATTATTGTTTGCTCAGATTGTTCCAGCTTGGTCATGGGGAGCCTTTTCAGGTTGGCTCTCATGTCCTTTTGATAAGCCCTATCCTTTTTCTTTTCTTTTTTAAAACTTTTTGGCACTATAAGATTTTCTAGGCTCATCTTGTATTTTCCTTGCCCCAGGCCTAGATTGTGCCATTTCTTTAAGGAACCCTGGTTCCTTTTATTGGAGAAGGTATTTAGAGGACAAGATCTTGGCACTGGGTTGCTCACTGCTACTAGGCATCCTGAGCTGGTGTATATATATATACCAACCCTTCTCATCTATCTCTCTCACTCTACTTATCTTTCTATTCAATAACCATGAAGACATATTGATATAAATAAATGACTAAATGAATATATAAATTGGGATGAAGGGACAGTTATTCCTTATAGAAGAGTTTCAAATAATAAATGTAGAATACAGTAATAATTTCTGCAGGCAGGACCCACTCATGAATGCTAAAATGAGTGAGTGAAACCTTAAAGAGAAACAGTATTTCTGCATAGCCTATAAAATATTAATTATTGGAGCCAGGCATAGTGGCTCATGCCTGTAATCCCAGTGACTAAGGAGGCTGAGGCAGAAGGATTGCTTGAGGTCAGGAATTCAAGACCAGCCTGAGCAACATAATGAGACCCTGTCTCAAAAAGAAAGAAAGAATGAGAAAAAGAAAAGAAAAGATAAATTGAATGTGGTGGCATGTGCCTGTAGTCCCAGCTACTTGGGAGGCTGAGGCAGGAAGATTGCTTGAGCCCAGGAGTTTGAGGCTGCAGTGAACTATGATCATACCACTGTACTCCAGCCTGGGTGATAGAACAAGACCCTATCTATAAAAAAAATTTTTTAGGGCCGGGCGTGGTGGCTCACGCTTGTAATCCTAGCACTCTGGGAGGCCGAGGCGGGTGGATTGCTTGAGGTCAGGAGTTCCGAAACCACCCTGAGCAAGACCCCGTCTCTACTAAAAATAGAAAGAAATTAATTGACCAACTAAAAATATATATACAAAAAATTAGCCAGGCATGGTGGCGCATGCCTGTAGTCCCAGCTACTTGGGAGGCTGAGGCAGGAGGATCACTTGAGCCCCAGGAGATTGAGGTTGCTGTGAGCTAGGCTGACACCATGGCACTCACTCTAGCCTGGGCAACAAAGTGAGACTCTGTCTCAAAAAAAAAATTTTTTTTTAAATTTTAAAATAATTATCCCCCCAGATATTAATTTTAATTACTATTTATTGCTATTAATAGTAAATACTAGTAGTATTTATTACTTGCTATGAAGATTTTAATATACATTCACAAATTATTTGATGTTCTTTTCTCTAGTAGGTAGGGCTTAATTTCTTTCCCCTTGTGTATGGGCTGAATGTATTGCCTTGCTTCTAAAAAGTAGAAAATAGAAAGGGGAAAAATAGTAACTTTACAGTGAGAAACCTGGCAGGTAACACCTTAACTAAATAATCAAGGTTGTCATCAGACAAGCCCAAATTGAGGAACAGACTGCAAAATACCTGTCCAGTATTCCTCAAAACTATCAAGGTAATAAAAAACAAAGAAAGACTGAGACACTGTCAGTCTCAAAGTGTCTAAAGGGACATGCCAACTTAATTGTAATGTGGTATTCTGGATTCTGGAAGAGAAAAAGACAGAAAAACTGGGGAAACCTGAAAAAAGTCCTTAGTTTAGTTAATAGTGTTGTACCAATGTTAATTTCTTACCTTTTAACATTTTATTTTATTTCATTTTATTTTATATATATTTTTAGAGACAGGGTCTTACTGTCTTGCCCAGGCTGGAGTACAGTGGTACAATCACAGCCCACTGTGACCTTGAACTCCTGGGCTCAAGCATTCCTCCCAAAGTGCTGAGATTACAGGTTTGAGCCACTGTACTAGGCCTAAACTTTTTTATTTTTTACTTTTTATTATTAGAGACAAGATCTCACTATGTTGCCCAGGCCGAGTGTGTTTGCTATTTACAGGTATGATCATAGTGCACTATAGCTCCAAACTCCTGGGCTCAAGCGATCCTCCTGCCTCAGCCTCATGAGTAGCGGGGATTACAGGTGTGAACCACTGCACCTAGCTTAATTTCATAAATGTTATGTAAGATCTTGACAATAGGAGAAGTTTGGTGAAAGGGACTCTGCGCTATCATTGCAACTCTTCTTTAAGTCTAAAACAAGCAATCAGAAAAC